TCTGTGAACAAGATTTTGTGTGTTAGCCCCTTTAAGCATGTGCCTATGTCTCTAGCAGATTTCTGTCTCTCCCTGGAAGACAGACTCCCTACTGATTTTCACTGCCAGATGTTATATGGGTGCCTCTTATGGGCTCTGATGCTCTGGGTTGGGGGTCCTAGGGTGGGTTTGAGACTTTATGACCCTAAGGGGGAACCTTTACAGCTGAGATGTCACTTCTAGGATCATAGCCGCCAACTGTGGGAGAGGGGCCAGCCCCTTTCACATCCCCGCCCATCCTACCAGTCTTGCTGTAGCTTCTTTTATAAATCTTTGATCTTCTGTAAATCCTTGATCTTCTGTAAATCCTTCATCTTATGACTTCTGATCAGGGAGTCTTCAGTTGCTTATTTTGGTTGATTGATCTATGTTTTAGTTATAATTCCAGTTTGGTCCCAAGAGGAGGTGAATATAGTTTCCACCTACTCCCCTGCCAATAGAAACATCAATGTGTGGCCTACCCTAGAAAATGTTCTATATGCACTGAAGAGAATGTATATTATGTTGTTTTGGAGTAAAATGCTCTGAAGATGTCAATTATATACATCTGATCTAGTGTGTCATTTAAAGCTGCTGAGAGATATACATCTGATCTAGTGTGCCACTTAAGGCTTCTGGCCCGGTGTGACGAACACGGGCATAGTGCTCCAGGATGGAGTTTTTCCCTTGATCTTGGATCCTGCTTGGGTGTTTTCTGTTATCTTGTCCTATAAATTGGTGATTTGATCTTCTGTTTCATCTAACCTGCTATTGATTTCTTCTAGTGCGTTCTTCATTTCCACTATTGTATTCTTCATTCCTGACTGGTTCTTTTTTAATGGTTTATTTGTTGTTGTTTTCTATGCTTGCTATCTCTTTAAGTTCTCACTGAATTTATACATTTATCTCCTAAGTTCCCTGAGCACAGTTATAACCATTGTTTTGAACTCTGTATCTGGTAGATTGCTTTCCTACATTTCATTTAGTTCTTTTTTCTGGGGATTTCTCCTGTTCTTTCATTTGGGGCATGCTTATTTGTCTTTTCATTTGGCTGCCTCTCTGTATTTGTTTTTGTGTATTAGGTAGATCTGCTATCCCTATTTTTGTAGGATGACATTATATGGTAAGTGCCCTGTGGGGCTCACTAATACAGTCTCCCTGGTCACCTGAGCCAGCTGCTTCAGGAATGTCTCTAATCCTAACCCAAGCAACATTACCACCAGCCTAGACAAGGGCATTTTCCCACTCCCCAAACATTCAGTGAGATGATAGCCTGGAAATACTCAGAAATGAGGATTCCCACTTATACCAGGCCCACAAGTTTTTAAGTCTCCCAGCTAAAGGAATAGGGACTTTATCCATCTATTTCACAGTGAGAATAGTCATAAAAATAAATATGAACATCCATGTTATTTTTATGAGTTAAGAAACTTTCCAAACACTATACAACCAAATTTCTATAAATAATTAAAAGAGTTGGTTTTCCTCTATCGTAATTCAATTATATAAAAGTTTCCTATTGGTAATAGGAGAGAATTGGTGGGATTTTTATAAATGAAAGGTCATATTAAGAAGCAAGAAAAAAATCCTTCCAACAGTGTATAGAAGTTCAACCCCAGCCAGGTGAATATCATTCTCCCACAAGTATGCATGGGGAAATATTCTATTTAACTATATTCAATTATTTTTCAAATATATGCTCTGAGTAGTTTCAATGTTACACTTGTCTTTGGAGTAGCCAATATCTGCTTTCTTATGGCTAAAAGAACTTTCATTTGAATCAGAAACTAAACAAAAATGAAACTGTTAAAAATGTGACTTCTTTAACACAGCCTTTCTATTTTGGTTAAGTAAGAAAAATAGTTTCTTACTTAAAGGGTGTGTTCTTTTATATTCCACAAAATATTTTGAAACACATATTTTTTATAAAGAGGTTTTTATTTAGCAATCAAATAAATGAATAAATTATATTTGAACTCTGGCTTGAAATCTCACTAAATCAAGACAGAAAGACTGAGAAAGAATTTTAAAAATATTTTACATGAACTTCCAGAGTCTCAGGAGAATTGTCAAATTAGAGACTTTTCTTCTGGTAAGTCAGTATTTTCTTTTAGCGCATCAACTTCTGTTTCATTATCTTCTTTTCAATTCATGTGAGAGGAACCTGAGGTCTTTATCTGTCAGTACATAGAGACCCTGCACCCACTTTAGCAGCTGCTCAGCTTCCCTCATCCATGTGACCAGGATTGGTGCAGCCCATTCCCCCACCAACTCCCTGCAATTTCATCATTGCCTGATGGGCAGTCTCAAACACTCATCTTTGAAGATTTCTACAAGAATTTCTTTGAGGGAACCCCTTAGGGTGAGCACTGCTAGGTGAAGGTGTGCACCTATAAAACTGTGACACGTCCTGCACACTGTTCTCCCACAGGAGGGGCCTGGGCCTCCCTGTTCCTCCTGGGGGATCTGCTGGAGCCTCTGCTGCCTCACCTTGTCCCCAGGGCTGGTCCTCACTAGACAAGAAGCCTGCCAGTCTGAGGGTGACAGGGCTCTCTCCCCGGTGTTGACAGTGTGTCTCCCCACTGGGGAGGTGGGGCATCTCTGACATGTGCTGGTGTGTGCACTGTTCTAGATAGACAGTGGTGATGCTTGCCTAGCATCGTGAATGTACTTCATGCTCAGGAATGGCACCATTTAAAATACAAACAATATCATTTATTTATTATTTACAATGGATTATACAATGGAAAAATGAAGGCTAAAAACAGAAAAAAGATAATAATACAAGCAAAAAAAACCCCAAATAATACAAATAAAAAGATAAAAAAATGAACCACGCCATGGAGAACATAAAAACAAAATAAAAAAAGAAAAGAAAAGAAAAAGATCAAGGAGTGGGGGTATGACAAGTTTTTCCCTTGGGACAGGGCGAGCACATTTAAGAAGCAGCCCTTGAGCTGGGCCCTCCACAGGCAGCTCCTCCTCTGAGGCAGGACCCAGCATGGATCCCAGGGAGGGTTCTTCATCCGGCCGCGGTGAGGCCTCAGTTTGGTCTGGGGCCGGCCCTGGCTCCTCAGATGCAGCTGGAGAGGCTGCTGGAGATGGTGAAAGCTCTGGAGATGGACATGCCTTCAGCTCTGAATCCTGCTCCTTAGGATGGACTTTGGGTGTGACAGGAGGAGCCTCCTCTGCCTCCTGGGCTGCTGCTGGAGTTGGGAGAGGAGAAAAGATCACCCAGGTGCCTGCATGTCCATCTGTCCCCCAAAGACAGAACACTGGGCACAGCCCAGGACCCACCACAGGACGTCCTTCACGCCCAAAGTCCAACAGATGGGTGGTCAGGGCCCAGTCTTTACTCCTGGCCAGGCTCTGGGGTTGCTCCCTGTGTGTCTGGCAACAATTTCCCCCCATAAACTCACATGGACTTCCCCCACCCTTCCCTCTCCCACACCTCCCCACCTTCTCACCCTTGGGCTCTGCCTTCTTGGGCTCCAGGTCTTCTGGACTGGTGTGATTAACATAGAAATAGCGCTCCACATCAGAGTTGAAAGTTACCCTCCGGGTGTTGGGACTGAACGGCTTTGAAGTTGGAGGCTTGTAGAGCCTGGAAGGCTTCAGTGGAGGAGTCCTCCTCCGTCCACCCACGAGCCCTGGCTCCCCAGATGCCCAGGTGGCCACACTCTCTTCAGGGTTTCCCGGCCCCTCAATGCTGGACATGGGGCAGGGGACTTCCTCTACCAGCTGCTGTTCCAACTTGATCTGGTTTGAGCTCTGCAATGACAGGGGAAATGAGAGTCACCTCCAGGGCTCAGGATAGACCTCAGGCAGTAGGTAACCTTGATCTGGGGTTTGAACTTGACTGGTCCTGACCCCCCAATCCAACCTGTTCCTATTCTGGGCAGGACCTCCTCATGTGGACACCGCTTCACCCCCCAACACACACACACACACACACACACACACACACAC